TAATGTAGAAACTCATAAAAATATATGGCAGGTACAAAAATGCACTGTAATCTCCACACCTGAGAAGCAGAGGCAGAAGGGTCACTGCAAGGTTGAGGCAGACACCCTGCCTCAAAAAACCTAAGTAACAAAAAGTAAATATATAGTTCATGGTAAACAAAGTTCTGAAAGTAACAGTGGCAGGAATCTCTCCTTTCTGTGAGGCTTTACTTGAACATACCTTTTTTTCACATTTTATTTATTTGGTGGGGTCACACACACCATGCTGCATGCAGATGTGGCACTCATACTCTGAAGTCAGTTCTGTCCATCACGTGGGTGGCCAGGATCAAACTCAGGTCATCAGGTCCCGCAGCCAGCTCACACTGAACCGTCTTCTTTTGAATCCTCTGTTCATCTCTGCTAGAGCTACATGCAGACTCAATACGCTCTAAGTAGCAGGGTTCAAAATCCACCCTTCTGCTACTGGCTTCAAGTGAATACTGCTGCCTTTCTACACGATAGGAAACAATCCTTCCTTTGTGGGCTGGGCCCCTTCCATATGTCTTCCCTGATCCAGAGGTACGTACGTGGCCATACTGGCTAGAGTACCCCATTCCTTAGACATAGTAATCACCTAGACTCAGTCACTTCCCCAGGGAGTTTTCAAAGGATTTGCATAAATGCCAGGACAGAGGCTAGAGGTGTATCTCAGTATCAGAATGTATGTTTATGTATAGTATGCCCGGGCTAGAGAGATGGCTCAGTGGTTAAGAGCACTAACTGCTCTTCCAGAGGTCCTGAGTTCAATTCCCAGCAACCACATGGTGGCTCACAACCATTTCTAATGTGATTTGGTGCTTTCTTCTGGTGTGTCTGAAGCTACAGTGTACTAATATACATTAAATAAATAATATTTTAAAAATAAATATTTAAGCTGGGCTGTGGTGGCGCATGTCCCAGTACTTGGGAGGCAGAGGCGGGCAGATTTCTGAGTTCGAGAGTTTGAGGCTAGCCTGGTCTACAGAGTGAGTTCCAGGACAGCCAAGGCTACACAGAGAAACCCTGTCTCGAAAAACCAAAAAATAAATAAATAAATATATTTTTAAAAATGTATAGTATACCCAATGTTCTGGTGCCCTCTGACCAAAAAAGCAAATACACAAATACTGGTACAGATTTTCTCCACGATCCTATACCCATACTACTGCTGAAACTGAATGTCTAGAATCATGGGCGATGAAAACTAAGGGCCAGAAACTGAAATGTGTGGTGGTTTGAATAAGAATGGCCCCCATAGCTCATAAATTTGATATCTGGTCCCCAATTAGTAGAACTGTTTGGGAAGAATTGGGGGTGTGACCTTGTCAGAGGGTGTGTCACCAGGGGGGTGGTTTTGAGGTTTCAAAAACCAGCCATTCCCAGTTAGCTCTCTGCCTTTTGCCTATGGATCAGATGTAAGCTCTCAGCTTCTTCTCCAGGGCCATGGCTGCCAGCCTGCTGCCATGCTCTCCACCATGGTGGTCATGGAGTCCTCTGAGATTATATGCCCCAAATAAACTCTTCTGTGAGGTGACTTGGTCACGGTGTCTTCACAGTAATAGGAAAGATACTGAGATACTGCCAGGCATGATGGCGCAGGCCTTTAATCCTAACACTTGGGAGGCAGAGGCAAGAGGATCTTAGTTCAAACTAGCCTCGTCTTTTTATAGAGAATGCCAGGACAACTAGGGCTACATAAAGAGACCTCTGTCTCGAACAAACAAAACAAAACAGGAAAAGAGAGAGAGAGAGAGAGAGAGAGAGAGAGAGAGAGAGAGACAGAGACAGAGAGAGAGAGAGAGACCAGGCTTTTAGAAAATTCAAGACCCCACCTCTAGGATCCATACTCTCTGGGTACATAGAACCACTAAAACACAAACAAAACAAAATATTTAATCTCTGTAATAAACCTCACCCTCACAATCCCATTTACTTGATGGCCTCTATAAACTGTCAAAATGGCACAAGCCAGCAGTACCACAGGAACCAGGGCACTCTGGCCCCGCAGGTTTGAAAGGCATCATAGCCTAGTTCTTGCCATGGGTGACATGTGCGGGGAGGTCTTTTCCGTTTCATGCCTCTCGCCTCGCTGCTCTACAGGACTCCTGAGGTCTTCTGCTCTTCTGCGGCCTGGCGCCTGGCACTGCGAAGCTGGAGATAACGGTAGGCTCGCACACTGCAGAGGTAACCCCCGTACACAGTGAGTAGCATCATCGAGGCAGAGAAGGTCTTATAGCCAATATCGGCTAGCTGCTTGGCAGACGGCATGTCTTCCCCTACAAAGACAGATTGGAGTTTGGTCTGCAGGACAGGCCTCGCCTCTCTGGAAAGCCATTCCTCATTTTCATCTTCACTTCATGGATTGCATCCTATGCTGGTGACCCCCAATGTGGCTGCTTTTACAAGGGTTAGGCATGGCAGTTCAGAGCTCTGACTGAAAACGTCTACACCTGAGGTACAGAAGGCTGGAAACAGGTGTATAGGATGCCATCAGAGCTAATACAGGCTCTTCTTATTCGTGCTTAAAAAGTGACCAGCCAACCCAGACTGTCCTGTGAATCAAACCTGGGTCCTCTGGAAGAAGAGTAATCTCTCCAGCCTCAGAACCATATTTTAATCAGACTGCTTATTATGGTAGTCACATTCTACCCTCACGTTAGGACCTGAAGATAGACTTTGGGGGGGAGGGGTGAAGGAGACCCAGGGGGTCCTCCCTGCAAAGTGCCAGAGGGGCTTCACGCTGCTGAAAGGCTGGTTTTGTCTCATTCACTGATCAAGAAGATCTGAGTATGATTTAAAGTGGGATGTACCTCGGTGTAGCAGGCACAAAACCAGAGGTTCAATCTCTAGAACTGCATTAAACAGAGCATGTGGTATATGCTGGAATCCCAGCACTCAGGTTGTGGAGGCAGGAGGATCCTAAATTTAAAATCGTCCTTAGCTATTAGTGAATCCCAAGCCAGTATGGCTACATGAGACCCTGTCCAAAAAAAAGGGGGGGGAGGGGAAGGGGTTAAAACAAACAGAAGCAAATCAGGATAGCCTCAAAAACAAACAAATAAACAAACAACAAAAACAACAAAACCCTGAAATTAGAAGCCCACGAACAAGGAATAACTTTGGAAATAAAAGAAACTCTTGAGATTGGCAAAAGGTTTTCATCTGATGGGCCATCCTTTACAGAAGCTGTTAAGAAATGTACAAATGGGCCGGGCAGTGGTGGCTCACGGCTTTAATCCCAGCACTTGGGAGCCAGAGGCAGGTGGATTTCTGAGTTCGAGGCCAGCCTGGTCTACAGAGCTTCCAGGATAGCCAAGGCTATACAGAGAAACCCTGTCTCAAAAAAAAAAAAAAAAAAAAAAAAAGAAAAGAAAAAGAAAGAAATGTACAAATGAACTGTAGGTTTCAGAAAAACAAGAAAAACATGGTAATAATCATGATAAACGCCGTGCAGTTTGCAAGGGTTTATGTGACTCTTCGATTTTCTGCCCTCTAAATGCTGAGAGAAACTCAAGGCTCATGTTTCTGCAAAATTCAGAGCCCCTCATGATAGCTCGCCCAGTTCTGGGGTCGATCTGAAACATTGCCCAGTGAACCAAACGCACAAAAAAATAAAAACCGCAACCCTAAAACCACCGGAGCTTAGCCTGTGTCTTTAGTTCTCTTAGGAGATACTTGGTGTCTGCAGAAAACAACTTCTGACTAATGGAGCCTATAAAGGTAAGCTATGAACCCCACCCATATCCTGTTAGATCAGAGGTGGTAGAGAGGGCCGGAGAGAAGCGGCTCTGAGGGAGCGTGAAGAGCTGGCAGAAGGCTGTGGGGTTGGGGCGAGCAGATTTAGAAGGGAGGACAGCCAGGCCGTAGTCACGCCAGGAAGGCGGTAAGGCCATGACTGCCGGGGACCGGCAGGAGCTAGCACAGCGCTCGGAGCCGAGCGCTCTCAAGGGCACAGGCCGAGGACACACGGTGCTCGGAGCAGGGGAGTGGAGGGGAGTGCGGTGCGGGGGACAGGGGGGAGGAGGAGGGACGCGGAGCAGGGGTCGCCGAGCGGAGGGCAGGGGTCAGGGCAGCGGAGGGGCGCGGTGCGCCGAGCAGGGGAGCGCGGGGAGGCAGGGGAGCTTGGCCGTCCGGCCCGCGCCCTACCTGGAGGCTGCAGCTCCGCCGCGTCAGAGCAGAGCGGTCCCTGCTCAGTCTGCCACTCGCAGAGTCGCGCGGCCGCCGCAGGGAGAGTCTGACAGCAACGCCGAGCGCCTCAGCTACTGCTGCACAGCCCGGCCCCGGACCCCGCTGCGAAAACTCGCCCACTAAAGCGAGAGCCCGCCTTGAACTTCCGGTTTCCACCTCCCTCTTACGCACGCTCAGTCTAGTCTTCCTCTCGAAAAGACCCATTGAATTCTGGGGGTTCTGCTCCATCAAGAGCGCTCCTTGGAAAACCGGAAAATTTTTAGCTCAGAATTAGCCAATCCGCAGTCTAGGATCAGTGACGTGAACTGTAGCTAGGTAGATCCTCGGAATCCTCCAGCGATGGGCCGCGCGCCCCCTAGTGTCCGGAGCGGTCCTTTACAGGGTGATCCAGAGGTGGCCGACCTCAGGTAGGGACTGGACCAGCATTAGAGAGGCTACAGAACGGGTGTGGGGGGCGGAGGGGGGAGGGGGGAATCGCTAATGTTTCTGCCTTGTGCGCGACCTCCTCCTCCTCCTCGTAGGTAGGCGACGTGACAGAGCCTCCAAGAAGCACGGGAAGACTGGCTGACAGCTTGGGTGGAGGAGGGGATACTAGGCGCAAGAGTGAAGGGGGGGTGCGGGGCGGGAGAGGAAGAGGGGAGAAAGGAGGGAGCAGAGTGGACGCCAGTGCTGATTGATGAATGTGGCTGCTATTAAATAGTGATGATCTTTTTTTCCACTTCTTTACTTACGTTGAGTAAAACATGCATGACCCCACACACTGCCACATAAACTCCCCCCAACTCTTCCAGTTTCTGGAAAAACCACACTTTATTGGGTAGACAAGTGGCCTGACAGAAGGCCTCAGATTCACAGTTGACTGGCTGAGCAAACATAGGTTAAGTGTTGGAATCTGTCTGCATCCCGCTCCAACCTCCTGGGAAACAGCTCTGCAGTGAGTCGTGAGTGGGAGGGATCCTGCCCAGTCAGGATCGATGACGAGGCTCCCCCCTCTTCACCTTACCCGACAGCTCTGACCTTCATTGGTAAGACCAAGTTCTTAAAGGCTAGGAGCAGAGAGGGACCTGGCACCTTAGTGTGTTAGTTTAATATCAAGCTGGCCAGAGCCACGGTGTGCCAGTTGCTGCCACACACGAAATGGAGACCCCTGGTGGAGAGAGAAACCTCTCAGATCCCAGGGACTATTTATAGCTAGGGCTCCAGGCTGCTGATCTGTGACATTCTCCTGCTGCCACCCAACCTTGGAACAGGGCCAGTGCAAAGCATACTCCCATCCCCCTCTGCTCTTCCCTCACCCTAGGGCAGGCTGTTTTCCTCGTCCTTCCCTCGAGTTCCCAAGCTCCTGATGAGTATGGTTAGGACCTCGTTCCAAGGACAGCTGGCCTTGGGCTATCAAGACCCGCCAACCATTGTGGAAAGCTACTGAACTTCTGAGCTGCTCCTTGGCTCCGAGCCTACAGATGCTGGGTAGCGCTCCCCGCTGTGTGAGAACTACTGGCTTGGGCAAGAGGAAAGGGTAGAGTCAAGAGTATGGGCTGAAGGAGCTGAGGAAGATGAGCTATGAATCCTACATTCTGTTAGACATGAAGTTGGTGGTAACTCTGGAGAGAGTGGCTTTGTGGGTGAGGACCCTGAGAAGAAAGATATGGGGTAGAGATGCCTTTTTTTTTTTTTCTTAAAGTGTCAGCAGTCGGAGGGGGAGACTTCTCCCAACCAGAGCTCCTGTCTGGGGAGGTGGATGAATAGGAAGGTCAGGGGAGCCTGAGCCATCTGAGCCTGCTGTGAAAAAAAAGTGTAGCTCAGTCAGCAGATTAAGTTCCTGCTCCCCAAAGAGGGTGCTGGCAGCTGGGTGCAGGCAAGGGAAAGCTTGGAAAGGTCACGCAGGGTGGGGAGGTCCTGGCAAACAAAGCCCTAGGAACCAGGAAGTCTCTGGGAAGAATGGAGTGCCCCGGGGCCAGAGATGCCAGTGTGGAGCAACTCTTGTGCCAGAGTAGCCTGGGGGGGGGGGGAGGGAAGGGGAAGCAGAGGCTTCTGAGGACGCAAATGTTGCTAGGAGAAGTTAGAAGGGAGTTTTTTGAGAGCTTTGTATTTTGTTAGCAGACAGTGAGATCATTGACGTTGCGTGGGGCCTGGCAGAGGTCAGAGGTCAGCCAAAGGGTCTCTGGGATCTGTGTCAGCTCAGACATCCAGACCCTTCCCTTGGCAGCCTTTGCCTCATCTCTCATTTGGCTAAAGTACTTCTTCGGTCACTTAATGGGACTTGGGACAGTTTCCCGGTGTGTGTGAGGCAGCAACCAGCAGCCCTTGACTTGGCGCCTTCCCTTCCCCCAACCCCACCCCTAGACCTGGGGCTTAGTTCTACACTTCCCAGAGGACGGCGAGGAAACTTGGATTCTGCGACAGGCTGCGGGTTCAGCAGCAGTTCGGCACCTCCAAGTGTGTAGCGGAGCCCCATAGCCTCCTGTCCTCAGGGTCCCTCGGTGAGGACTCTGCTGGATGGGGAGTCCCGGAGACCGTCCTGATGATGGGTGTCACACGCTCCTGCTTGTCTCCGTTGGGGCAAAGGGAGCTGCCTGTCCTGGGCCCTGGCTCCATTCACATGTGTTCTGGGTGGTTCTGCAGGCAGCGGATGAATTCACCCACTGGCTGGCCCTCGTAGCACACTTTGTACACCGCAGTGAACAAGGGAAACCTAGAGAGAGAAAGAGCCTCGGCTTACCTCCCTACCCTCAGTCCACCCTCAACCCTCATGCCCACCCTGGGTCCAGACTCAAGGCTAACTCACCACTTCCCTAGCCTCCCACCTTGGGAGTTCAGCCAGATGCCAGCTCTCAGCTGCTACCCCCACCAGGAATCTGAATTCCTGGCCCTGGGATTCCGGGTTAGGTTGCTATCCCTGATCCTTAGCGTACAGCACTCATTTGTCTGAGTCACAGGCTTTAAATTTTTTTTTTTTTTTTTTTTTTTTTTGCTTTTTGACAAGTAACCCATTTAATTCTCTGGACCTCAGTGTCACTGGTTGTAAAATGGGTCCAGTATGATAAAGTAGCAAAGGTGTAGTTTATGTTTTATATGCTGGTATAATAAGCCAGCTATTTCTTGTCATCCTGCTTGGCTGTTCCCAGTACCAAAGCCAAGAGTTGCTCTTTTGAACCTGTTCTACCCGGAAAGGAGCGCCCTGAAGCAGAGCCCATCCTCCTCAGCACCCAGGACAGGGGGCGGGGACAGAAATGGTGGTTTTAGGGGAATGAACCAAAAGGTAGGGCAGTCAGGTGAGCTTTCCCGTCCTGGAACTCCAGCCTCCTAGAGTGGGGATAAGGAGGAAAGAGCCGAGAAAGGGGAGGCCATGTAGGCGGGGCCAAGTGGACAGAGGGTGAACTAGCAGCAGATACTCAGCACCCCAGAAGCTCCAAGCTCTCTCTGTCCATCCCACAGGTTGTGTGGGGTTCAAGAAGCCTGGGGAAGGGGGCGGCAACCAACCTGTGACTCCTCCCCCAAGGGCAAATACTCACTTGTCCACAAGGCCCTTGTGTTGGAGGATGCTGTGCAGCTCCCGGGCTGTCTGGGGCCCCTGTAGCTTCTGCCCATTCAGCATCTCTTTCTCCAGCTGCTCAATGGACTGTGAAGAGGATGCCGTGAGAAGGGAAGTGGGAGAGGGCGTGGTCTGAGCAGGAAGGTGGGGTGGGAGGTGGGATCTTGACGGGGCGGAGGAGAAATAGCCCCTGTTCCAAACAATCTCTCCTTTCCCATGGTTAAACCCAGGGCCTCACGCAGACTCGGAACAGGCAAGTGCTCTACCACCGAGCCCCATTCCAGTCCCTGTCCGTTCTGAGACAGGGTCTGGCTGCCTGGCCACCTCCCCCCAGATCTCCACACCAGATCACCCCTCTCCCACCTTGACGTCTCCCTGCCTACCTTTCCGGTTCGAGCGAAGGCCTCTGCCACCTTGCGGTTCCGCCCCCCGTAGCAGGTCGTGATGAGGTCAGCGACCCCGCAGCTCTCCAGGAAGGTGGCGGAGGACACAGAACCACTGCAGAAGAGTTTGGCGAAGGCGATCATCTCCATGAGCCCCAGCCGGATCACCGCTGCCTTGGTGTTGTCACCGAAGCCAAGCCCGTCACAGAAGCCAGCCCCGACGGCCACTATATTCTTTGAGGTGTAGAGACATGGGTGAGACTGTTGCCTCTCCAGAGGGTCTGCTTGGAGCCTTCTGCACCTCCCTGTGCTGCCCGTATCAGCCGTGACACACCCATCAGTGAACTATGATGTGGCCTCTTAAACCAAGTCCTCCGCTTCCTGCTTTCCCATGTAGTGTGTGCCTTCCCACGCCCATTTGTGTGTGCACGTGCATGTGCGTGCATGTGCACACGTGTGCGCGTGCATGTGTGTGCGTGTGTGAACGCATGCAGTGTGTGCATGTGGTGTGTGTGTGTATGTGCGTGTCTGTGCATATGCATGCTTGTGTGTGTGGATGTGTAGCTATATCTGTGTGCCCATATGTGTGGAAGTGATTGACATGGTTTTCCTCAGTTACTCCCCACTGTAATAATACCATTATTATTAATTTGCCAGACAGGGTCTCACCCTGTAACTTTAGCTGGCCTAGAAATCTCTGTGTAGACCAGGCTGGCCTCAAATTCACAGAGGACCACCTGCCTCTGCCTCCTGAGTGATGGGACTAAAGCCACGCCTCGCCATGCCCAGAAAACCTTGGTTTTGAGACAGCATCTCTCGGTGAACCTGGAGCTCACAGGTCGAGCTTGACTGTCTGTGCAGCAGGCTGCAGGAACCTCATTCCTCGGCTTCCTCACTGGTGAAGTTACCAGTGTGCCACTGAGCCTAGCTCTTCAACATGGGTTCTGGGGGGTCAACTCAAGTCCTCGGGCTTGTGTGACGACAAGCACTTTACAAACAGAGTCATCTCCAGCCTTGCTGACCTGCAACTCAGAGATCTGCCTACCTCTGCCTTCTAAGTGCTGGGATTAAAGGAGGGCACCACCACTGCCCGGCGCCTTTCCTTAATTTTTATCTCATATTTATCCATGACATTCCCTGTGAGAGTCATACCCACCCACCCCCTCTCCATAGGATCTCACTATGTAGTCCTAACTGGCCACAAACTTACAGAGATCTGCCTGCCCCTCCTGAGTCCTGGGATTAAAGGCACATGCCACCATAGTTCTGGCCATCAATTCTTTATACTCTGAACACCTTGTGTCCTATTAACCCGGACATCTCTTCACATTGGACCCTTACATGGACTCAGGGCTACGTACATCACAAAGGAGATCCAAGGGGAGTGGAAGAAGGACCCACTGCTGGATGGTTAAGAATCAGTAAGCCTGGATGCTTTGCTGTGTATGGGGCAAAGGAGAGGCTGCCCAAGTGCAAGAGCTGGTTCCAGCAACCTGGAGGAGCTAAGCTGGGCAAGCTGGCGGGCTTCTCTTCACCCTGAGGCTGTCTCTGTGTTCTCTCACCTTCAAGGCCCCACAGATCTCCACTGTGTCCACCTCTTGTACCACAGTGATACGAAAGTTGGGTGTCTGCATCAGCTCCTTCAGGAGCTGTCCCTGGGCCGGGTCCTTGCAGCCTAAAGTAGAGAAGGGGTAAAGTTTTGAGGGACAACCTCTTATTTTGATCCTTAAGTTCGTCTGTTGGGCTCTTGCTGTGTTGCCTAGGCTGGCCCAGAACTGCTGGGCTTCAGTCTCCTGAGAAGCTGGGACGACAACTGCATGGCACAAGTGACATCTCAACTGTCCCTTGCACACTGGCCAAAGCCAGACTCACAGCCCTATCCCTGGATGTCCCAGCCTCTCCTCTCCTTGGAGGCTTTCTTCTTCCCCTGCGCTGTGGCGGGAGAGATAGCTAAGGACTTGGGCAGCAGGTAGGGCTCTCACCGATGGTCGTCTCACAGAACTTCTCATCGGCCACCTCGCTGGCAATGTTGGCTCCCATCAGCACGCTCATGGGGATGCCGAGATGCTCCTCAATCACTTCAGAGATGAGCTTCAGGCCATTGGGGCCCTCGTCTATCCCCTGGGCAGAGGGTGGGGCTCAGGGAAGCTGTCCTTCAGGACCATCTGTGCCCCTCTCCGGAGGTCCTGCCACAATCCCACCCAGCCTAGACTTGCTGTGAGGACAGCAGATAGCAGTGACCAACCCATCTCAGCAAACCCCCTCCCACGCACTCTTATCCAACCTACCTCTTAGAAGTATGGGACTCCTTACACCCCTAAGGAACCTTCTAGACACCCCAACACGCTTCCTAAGACATCTGCCTCCAAAGCTATCTTTTCTTCATTAAGTAACCCAGCAGCTGACTCTCTCTCTCTCTCTCTCTCTCTCTCTCTCTCTCTCTCTCTCTCTC